GCGGGGGGTGGGGGGGAAAAAAAGAGGATTTTTTTTTTTTTTTTTTTTTTTTTCTTTTTTTTTTTATTGTGCATCAGGAGACCTGATTGTGTCCCTCAACAATATTAAAAATAACAATTTAGCAAACATAAATAAGTCTGGCTGCTCTTGGTCTAATAATGACTCTGAAAGGATTCTCAGTGCCTCTGCCTCCATGTTGTTAAGACACCCAGAAGTGTTTAAATATAGATTTAGTAAAATCTGTAAAAGGAGCCTAGATTAATTGGCTGAGTTTAAAATCAATCGTTGATTACTGGTTATTATTTGCTCTGATGCATTTGTGAACAAACCAGCCCGAACACAAAGATTACACCATATTGTAACCATGGTAACACAACAGTCCAACTAAGGTTATTTTTTGCACTTTTACAAATTAAACCTCCTCATTAAATCCTAAATGTACATTTTTATCTCTGCTGAATGCATTAAATAGAATTTAATAGCATTATCATTCTCAATAAAGTAATCCTACAGGTTTAGCTCTAAGGTCTGTGCTACAATTCAACCATTTATAGTGGCCCTGGATGTCTGGAGGGGCCCCTGAATGTCTGGAGGGCCCTACCAGCAGCTACTGAGTTTTCTTTATCTTGATATCTCAGTCAAGAGATATCAAGACATAAAACATTTATGTTTTATGTTTGATAAAACTGTTTATCAAATGTGAGCAGAAACAGAAAATCAGAGAAAGAAAATGGATTTCATAGATTTGGTTTCAGACAGTTTTCAAGAAAGAACTCACAGGTTATCTTAATGGTGACGTCACGACTTGCATTGCTCATGAAGGCAGGGTTAAAATATCGTAGTTAACTCCCCTGAGCTTTTCTGATCTTTAAAGCAGTTTGCAGCCAAGTTGTTATAGAGTTTAAATGGTCAGATATTATAAGGTTTATTTAGTGAAATAACAGCAAATTTGCTTATTTCATAACATATTTAATAACCAACGACCTTCTCTCCTCTGGTCTAATTAACAGTCTCAGATCAACACAGAAACTCCTCAACAGCAACATTATACTCAACAGGTAAAACAAAGATTACATTTGCTTTGCTTTGCCCCCACATGATAACAATGATGCGGTGTGATCCAATTAAATATTGGGTTTTTAATTAATATTTAATGTTGATTAATATTTACTGTTGCTATGTTGTTGTACGGAGTTTTAAGATCTTGTTCATCTGAGCCCCCGTCCCTCCAAAGGTCTCTGCACGGCCCTGCTCGGCTTCATTCCTGTATTTCACATCATACTGTGTTTTTATTCTTTTTCTTTTATTGTGTTTTATCAGTTATCGTTAACCTAGAAAATAAATGAACTAAATGTTGGTTCTGTTGTAGATGCTGTGCTGACTACTGAGCCCAACTGGTCGACGTTTTATTCTGGAGAGTTTGTTACCTTTAGATGCGACATGAATGAAGGAGAAAACTCTGACTGGGAATACAAGCTGAACAAGAATAATGAATCATATCTGTCCATCAAGAAAGATAAAAACAGCATGTTAGCACTTAATCATAGTGGTGAATATCAGTGCTGTGGTCACAGGAGGAACTCAGCTCAAACAAAGTGCAGTAATACTGTTACTGTTTCAGGTAAGCATAAAATATTTTAAATCACATTTTAACCCTAACCAATGGAGGATAACCCTGAAAAAATAGTGTATCTATATTTTTTCTTTACTTTATTTCAAATATATTATTTATGTATTTTTTTTATTCACAGAGATTAACATATCATCTCACCAGTGTTACTGCCTGTGTGATTTTTTTTTATCCAAAATGAAGTCAGCTACAAATCACAAATCACAACAAAACCAAAAGACATTTTTTTTAATTTGTGAACAAAAAAAAAAACATATATTTTTATTGGCTCATTAACTTAATGATGCCAAATAACATTTTTCGAGATTTCACTATATTTTATGAGTAAATACACATATCCAGTCATATTATGCTGTGCAAGTATATTTACTTTCTGGCAGAAACATGACAACATGATTTCAAGTCTTTTGTTGTAAGATGGGCCTATTTTGTTTCCATCAACAGCAGACAGACCCACGGCCACACTGACTGCAGGTCCAACAACCATACCAGTAGGGGGCAGTGTGACACTGAGCTGCTCAGTGGAGCCCTCTGCTGGATGGAAATTCAGATGGTTCAGACGGACCATAAAATCACCTGAAGCTGAAATCACAACAAATAATACAGAAAACAGAAATATCACTGTGACACAAGGAGGAATCTACAGGTGTGAAGGAGTGAGAGGAAACCCTGCCTTCATGAGCAATGCAAGTCGTGACGTCACCATTAAGATAACCTGTGAGTTCTTTCTTGAAAACTGTCTGAAACCAAATCTATGAAATCCATTTTTTTCTCTGATTTTCGGTTTCTGTTCACATTTGATAAACAGTTTCCAACAAGGTTGTTGTGACTCGACGACCAAACAGTTCTCATGTCTTCAGTGGTGAGACGATCACTCTGACATGTGAGGTCCAGGGAGGAGAAACCACTGAGTGGAAGTGTGACTGGAACAGAGATGGATCACTTGTAAACAGGACAAATAGTAAAGACTGGATGTTCAATATTTCTGAGTCCAGCAGTGGAAACTACATGTGTCGGTGCAGACGCAGAGACGACTGGTTTTCTTCAACACAGTGGAGTGAAGCCTTCACTCTGTCTGTATCAGGTGAGTCATGTTTTGTTCTTAGAGTTGGTCTGCAGCAAACTGAACTGAACCACTGCTTTCTGCTACTCTACCAGCAGGGGGCGTCCAGGAGCACTTAAACTTTTGCTGAAGATATAAAGATAGGACTTTCTTACAGTATAGTCTCTAGACATTTAGATAAAGATGTTATAAATAACAGAAATTAAACTTTATTGATGAAGCACATTTAAAAGAAATATAAAACCATAAGTAGGTGTAATTTTTCCTAAAATATCCACCTAGAGTGTTCAAATTAAATTCATGCATCTAATATTATCAGATAAGGAAGACGATTCCAGACATAATATCTGTAAATTTGATCTTAAAATAAAACATGTTTTAATAGGAATATGTGGCTGATTTAGTCCATCTAAATAAGCCGTCAGTTGCAATACAGAGAGTAAGAATGTCCACAGACTGAAACTGATAAGCTGTGTGTCGGCTCTCCATCCACACACACACTATCTACTTTATGAAACTTCTTGTGAACATACTCTGTGTTTTCCTCCATATCTATTTGCTTTTTTCATGCTCGTACACACACACACACACACACACACACACACACACACACTGCACAGACGCTCAAAGTTAAGGTCAAAGGAAGTGACACGCTAGGCTCTGTTTAGGGCGTAGCTGATAGAGGCCCACAAAAGGAATCAGAAGCTGTTGCTAGGGGCCATTTTGCTGTTTTAGCCTATAAGGTTGGCATAACAATGGACCAGCACTGCATTTAGTCTCAATAAATGGAATTAATGAATTACCAAATTAAAAACATATTTGCTCTGATCATTTGAACATTTCTCTATTTTATCCAAATGTTCATGTAATTTTAGATATAACCCAGTATTTATGATCTATTTTGTTGCACAAGAGTTTGAAACCAGTCCTTAACTTATTTCTCATCTGACTTCATTGTCATCTTGTTTTAGAGCCGCTCATTACTGATCTGCAGCCATTGGTGCTTGAACTTTTTTCCTGATTGGATCATTGTTTCATATTGGTATAGGTGAAGCATATTTTAGTTATGTTATGTAGCACATGTTTGACCCAGGCATGTTTGTATGGTTTGTGTTTAACAAGCTGTGTGTTGCTGTGAAATTACATTTACAGGTTGGTTTGTTTGTAATTCTGCTAGTTTGATCTGTTGATGAAATAATCTGGTTGAACCCGAGTTTGAATTATAGGGCAGGTTTGGAATTTCACCTGCAATAACCAAAGTTTCCACAGTTTCTCATTTATTGCAAACATGATAGACAATCAGGTCCATTCTTTATGTTTCAATTTGGAGAACTGGTGAGTTCAGCCGTCAGGTCATTATTTGCATCACAACAGATGAATTTGTTTGTCTCAGGAAATGTTTACTGTAATCTTTTAAACAAATACAAATCTTAAAAAAGCTCTTGGATGATTTGAGAGAAACATTGATCAAATTCACTCACTAAAGTTTCAGAAAAGTTTCTGCATCTTCAAGAAGTGATTTTACTCACTTTAATTTCCTAACTATATATTTTGTCGTATAGATCCCAATAAACCCAGTTTGGTTCTTCAACCCAACTGGTCTCAGATCTACAGAGGAGAGAAAGTCACTCTGAGATGTGAGATCCAGGGAGGAACTCAGTGGACGTATGAATGGAGAACAACCAATAGAAACTCTCCATCATCCAGTGAATACAGGATCAACTCAGCTACTGATGCTGACAGTGGAGAATACAGCTGTAGAGGAAAAAGAGAAGGGTTTTCCTTGACACCATGGAGTAATGTTGTTAAAATAATTGTGTGTAAGTTGATTCTTTACAAATAACATGGAAGTGATTATTTATATTTCAGTTGTTTCACTTGAAAAAATATTTCTTAGAACAATTTTAAAACTGTCTTCTTTGCCACTTAAAAATATTTTTAATTAAAATTTGAAACAAAGTAACAAAACAGCAACTTTCACTGTAACTGACAAACAGAAAATTTAATCCACTTTTGTCCAAAAATGGATTCAATTTACTTCAATGTACCTGTAAATTTAATTTTATAGTGTATTGATAGTTGATATTTGTTTTATGCTCTATCAGATATTACGTATCACTGTAATATCTGATAGAGCATATAAGAGCTCTAAACCAACATTTAATTTATTTTTATTTTTATTAAATGATTCAGATGTTAGGTTATCATTGTTAATGAGTTTTATTCATATGAAAGCAGCCAGAGACCAAAGAAAATCTCTGAAGAGCTTCAGAAAATCCAGGGAAACCTTGATCAAAATAAAAAAAAGTTGAACAGCTTATATCAATAAGTGTAACTAGGGAGCAGATATTAAACTCAAAATGTAAGAATACAACATGAAATTAGACTTTGTTTAAAATAATAATTAAAAAAACAAGAAAAATACAGTATCTAAAATAATTTTTCAACCAGAAAGAACCACAACTGTTATGTTTTTGTACTTTGATATAAATATATGAAGGAGAATATTACCCATTAAAAAGAATGAAAATGAAAAGATGAGAGATGATCAGGTCAAATGTTTGACCCAGTTTCTAATCTCTCTCCAGCACCCAAACCTCAGCCTGTCCTCTCTGTGTCTCCATCATGGCTGAATCCTGGAGCCTCAGTGACTCTGAGCTGTGAGTTTAAACATCAGGATGCAGGATGGAGGTTCTACTGGTATAAAGCTGTTCCTGATCCATCCAAATGGTACCGGTTACCATTCTACAGATTTGAGCTGCTGGCTAACAACCCAAACAGAGCTGAACAGAACTCCTACACCATTAATGGACCGACTCTCACAGCAGGATTTGTGTGCAGAGCAGGAAGAGGAGAACCAGAGCTTTACACTGATTACAGTAAACCAATGTTTGTCTGGTCTGCAGGTCAGTTTATTTCTTTCTTTCACGTCAATAAAAGTAGCTTGAGGTTTTTAAGCTGATCCAATACGTCTTCTTTTCAAAAATAAAATGTTGGAAATTAACTTGTGTTTACTTATGGCAAGATATTAGAAATAAAAACGTATAGTGATGGATCAATCATATTATTGGATAATAAGCATGAGTCACCCTTGATTCTTTTCATTAGTAACTTGAAAGAAATATGTGATAAAAATATGCAGATTTTTTTTTTTTACAAATCCACACAATAAATGTTAAATAAGTCAGTAGGCAGTAAGATGGTTGAAGATAAAATCAACCAATCACTGAATTAAAACATTGATCAGGAAAAGCTATTAAACATTCACCATTAAAATCTGATGTGAGCTTGTAAAAAAAAAGAGAGAGAGAGAATTAATTCCTCGTTGGTAGTTTACTTCATTTGAGAAGAACTGAAATATTTGGAAAGTTTTAATTCCTCTGTCGCTACCAGCCCCCAAAATGGCGCCAGCAGCACTTCTGCTGACAACATCAATCTAAGCATACAGCAGCCAATATAGGCATATTGCATATCCATGTAACGGGCAAAAACATCTAAATGATAGCAACAATATTTTCTACCTCCTCAACACCCAGCTTCAGAAATAAAGCATAACTAAAGGCTAATTAGACGCTAACGACTCACACCTGGTAAACACCAGCAAGGACAGCGCAAAACGGTCCTGCCCACACAAACTACCAGTCAGATCAAACCCAAGCTCTGCTCTTTCCAACAACTGAAAAGAAGATAAAGAAGACAAAAAACCTAGCTAAATTCACGAAGCTAAAAACATAAATGTAGTCCTACCTTTGCTGTGTCTTCGTCATAATCTATGTTAGAGTAAATATTTCCACTCAGGTCTTGTAACGCATTGTCCTTGTGTCACACTGATGTCATTCCTCGCCATTTTAAACTTCTCTGTCTCCATGGATACCGCCTATAAACTCAAAGGACTTCCTTCACGTTAGCACGCAGTTGGAGCTTTCCTTCGTTTACGTAAACATTTTTCGCTAGTTGTGATAGGTTAATGATGTTGCCATGGTATTTTGTAATCACCCAAATCAACCAATGGGCTGCAGAAAATCTGCCCTGTTAGTTTGATTTTCCGACTCAGTGCTCAACGCTTTTATAACCAGAGCGCCCATGACTGTACTTTTTAGTAGCACTTCACTCTAATATTGTTTCAAAAACCATTGTTATTAATTGCAAATAATATTTATAGGAAGATATAAGTTGGGGAAAAATAAATAAATTAAAAAAGATAGAGAAATTTGTTACTGCACACATGGTGCCAAAATGTCCAAAAATGGCACATTTGGAATAATTGCCTGAAATTTTAACAAATAATACCTTTCCAAAATTGTTTTGGAATTAAATTTGGTACAGTAAGTGGTCAGAACCTGTACTGCAGACTGCTAGAGCTTCTGGGTTACACAATATATTCCATTAGAATTTATGATTTTTGTTTTTAATTTTTTGACTGTGTGCCATATGTATTTGCTCTTACTCAGTAATACAAATGTTGATTTCTAGAGTATACCTGTATTCTGTTATCTGAATCAATCAAATACACCTTGTAGTTCCTGAGATATATGGAATTCATTTTGGGGGTGTCATTTTTGAGAACTCTAAAAAAGTCTGCAAAAAGAAGAAGAAATGAAAGTCTCATCAACTTGTTGAAATGTTGCTGTAATCTTTATTGCTATAGAAACAAAGCAAATGTTTCTATAGTAATAAATGTTTCATTTGTAATGAAACATTTCAAAGATGTTTCTGCTCTCAGATGAAATCCTGTCTTGTTTCCAGATCCTCGTCCAGCAGCTTCTCTCTCAGTGAATCCTGACAGAGTTCAACACTTCAAATCTCAGCCTGTGTCTCTGAACTGTGAGGGAAACTCTGCTGAGTGGAGAGTGATGAGGTTTACGGAAAAAAGAGAATCGTCATACTGCTCCATCTGGGGGAAAATGACTGGATCTACATGCACCATTAAATCGTTCTATGATAACAGTGGAGTGTTCTGGTGTGAGTCAAAATCTGGAGAGTTTAGTAATGCTGTCAACATCACTGTACACGGTAAGATATGGTTTATATTCTTCTTTCTTTAAACATCATAAATATATATAATATTGTAAATATCATAGCATAGAGTTTATGGAAGTTTTTTGACATTTTCTGCTGTGTTGTACATATTGAGGTTAAATCACACAATAATTCATTGTGTAGATTTGTTTTGTGCCATTTTTCTTCAATCATGGTATCAGGTTGTTTTTTCATTATTTTTTTTGGTCACTATTTAAAAACCATTCAGATTAAAATGTAAAATTGATCATCAATGATGTAAATTGTTTCCAATGGATTGCTCTGCTGCTCATACAATACTAAAATCAACTCATCAGATTATGTCATTTTAACCCTTGTGCGTGCGAGGACTGAGGCAAATGATACAAGTTTTACGTCTATGGGGTCGGTTGGACCCCATTTGTAAACACAAGGGTTAAAGAGTGTAATACTTTTTACAATGGTTACAAGTAACAGTAATAACCACTTATTGTTTGACAATACTTTATTAGTGTGTGGTTCTGACCAGTGGAAGCAGACATAAATATTCCATCCTCTGGCAGTGTTTATTCTCAACCAAAAATAGTTAAAAAAAAAAAAAAGATTTAAGACAATTTTTGTCAGTTGTATTAAATTGGATAAGCAGGTGAGCTATAGGGAAATCAAGCTTTTTTCATCTGTGCCTTCTATCCATCCATCCATTTTCTGTACACCCTTGTCCCTAGTGGGGTGGGGAGGCTGGATGTCGATCTGTAGCGAACGTTTCGGGCGAGAGGCGGGGTACTGCGCCTTCTATCAAAGGTCAAATCTAGCTTGTCTCCTACTGACTTTGAGAAACTTTTCCATGTCTTCATCACTACTGTTCCAACTCATTATATAAAAATATGGACCAATCTTCTTTACAGCGTCGCTTAACTGGAACCCGGAAACTAGAGCACATAACACCAGTATTGGCTTCTCTGCATTGGCTGCCAGTTTCTTATTGGATTGATTTTAAAATTCTTTTATTGGTTTTTAAAGCGCAACATGGCCTAGCCCCCAGCTTATCTTCAAGAAACATCTTCATAACCATTCTGTCTCTATACATTTTGGTCAAATAATAAATTATTGACAGAAGTATTTCTGTCAATAATCTCTAGAACCAGACTGAAAAGCAAAGAAGACTGGGCTGTTGCTGTCACTGCTCCTAATCTGTGGAACAACTTGCCTTTTTAATGTTAGATCTTAAAACTCATTTTTTGTTTATTAGCTTTTCCTTAAGGCCTGGCATTGTAATTTATTTGCCCTGACTGGTTTAATTTGTGTTTTATTCCTATGTGTTTTACGCATATTTCTGTTTTATGAATACTGTACAGCACTGTGCAGTTAGTGCTTTATAAATAAAATTGATGTTGACATTGACAAAAACAAGATAAGCATCTCTCAACAGAACAGAGTGCAATGTTCAAGTAGCATACACTTTCATGATTTTCATGATAATTTGATTTTAATCTACAACCTAATTAATAATTATTACAAGTGGGAAATTTCACATTTATGCCCGTCTTTTATCTTTGGAGAGGAGCTCAGGTCGTCATCACCCTGTTAGCTCACTCTTCAGATTCTCTCTCATATTCAAATTAAGTCTGGCCATAAAACATTTCTTCCAATAAATTAATTTTAAAACTATACTACCAGTTTATTTTATCTGATCACACAGACCTTGCTGTCTACAAAAAATGACATTACACTTGAAATTATTGACACAGCTTAAAGAAGTTCTTGAACTGAATTTTCTCTGATTGTTTTACAGATGATAATTATGATGAACCTCTCCTGGTGAGCCCTGTTCATCCTGTGACTGAAGGAGATCCTGTTACTCTGAGATGCAGAGAAAAAGATCAGCTTCTCTCCAATGTGTTTTTCTATCATAATGATAAACTCATCCATAATGACAGCAGAAGGGAGCTGAATATCTCTGCAGTGTCAAAGTCAGATGAAGGTTTCTACAAATGTCAACATTCAGGAAAAGATTCACCAAGGAGCTGGATGTCTGTTAGAGGTGAGGAGGAAAATATTTGGTTCATTTTATTCATTAAAACTATTGAAATGTTAGAGAGAAACAAGATGAACACTGAGGATGTTTGTCAGTGTTTTAGCATAAAGTCACTTTTTCTTCAAACAGGAAATGTCACACAATCTATTTCTTCCTTGTTAATGTTTCTTGTTTTCAGTAAACCAGTTACTGAAAACCAGCTCCAGCTCTTTATTTGCTGTGTTATTGATAATTGGAACATCGGTTGGAATGGTTCTCATTTTCCTCCTGCTGTTGTTCTTTTGCTGCAGACGGAACAACGGTGAGACATTTTTTTCTTTTCATATTTGATTTGATTGTTCATTTAAAAAAAAATTTATTGTAGATGTACTCTGATGTTATAGCACAAAATCCAGGCTTAAGATAAATAATGCAAAAGCATTTTTCTTTCTCATTTTTATTATGCTTCGTTAAATTTGTCTTTCTTTTTCTTCCTATCAGAAATTACTGGCAGTTCTACTGCTATATGTGTAATATGTTAGAAGTCAGAATGTCTCCTCTATGCAACGTAATAAAAATAAAACTTTAATTTAAATGAGATCTAAACAAGTGACTGAAAAAACGAAAAGAAAGTCAAATTTTATTTTCTAATATTGTAATTATTTCACATTTAAATTTTATAAAGCTTTTGACTCTTTTCTTTTCTGTCGGTTCATCGTTCGTCTCTATGACTCAGTGAATTCAGTCAATATTCCTACAACTGCAGGAAATGGAAGGACTTAAAATGTTATTGCTGTGCTGTTTAATTATAGAGAATCACTAACTAATCGAAAACCTGATATGTTTCAGTAGCAGATGGACCCAGTGATGCTACATACTCCCAGATTGAACTGAGAGACTTCTTGAAAAACTGTGAGTTCTTTGTAGTGAAATATGTCTTCATGTCTTTACGCTGCAGCTGATTTCAGGTCAGATTATCATCTGTCCTGACCAACTGCATCCTAACACTGGACAACAGCAGAAACTGATAAATCAGACATCACTGTATCTTTACTCTGTTTTCTGTTTCAGACTTTACTCCAACGTATGCTAACATAAACTAACAGAAAAAGGATAAAGGTAAAGATATAGTCTCCGTCTATCACTCTTTTTGCTAATATGTCTTATGTTTGACACACAGTGTATATAAGAATTAATAATCAACCTCTTCATTTACAGGAATGCAAAGTCCTGCAGCAACAGATGCAGATGCAGTTTATTCTGAAATCAGAACAGGAGCAGCTTTGGGTAACAACTACAACATGTAGCTTCACATTATTAGTTTATTATGGGATTTATTACATGAGGTAATCTGACAACAACTTTCTTAAATCATTTATTTTCTTACATATTTCATGTGTTTTTAAAAGTCTATACAGAACTGTGTCAGACAACCGTTTTCTGAAAAATACTTTTAGTAATGCTGGAAAAAAAAAAAGAACAAACTCCAGAAATATAGTCGAGTGTACAGGGGCTATGATGAAGTTTGAATACATTAAATATTTTTGTATATTTTTAATGGTTTATTTTACAAATACATACTATGTTTTACAGTTTTACAATATCTCCCACTCATAGTATTTTTTTTACAATATAATTGATATATTTTTGTTTTAGTGATTTAATTTGTTTTTATGTTGCATTTCTAAAATATTCAGTTACTGTATGTCAGCATACAAAGTGCTGAATGCAATGCCTTCCATATACTTGATTGCTTTTGCAAAGCTTTTTGTTTCGACTGGGTCAGTCCAGCTGTCGGCTTGTAGCTCCCACACCATGCTGTAGTCTAGACAATGCAGGCGAATAATCCACAGCTTTTTATCTAATAATTAAAAGCTGCCAGAAATGCTGATTTTTTTCCACAATGTACAGAGTTTTGCTCACTGAATGTGTTCATTTCTGACTGGTCTACATTATTTTATGCCTCTTTTTACATCAATTTCTTACATGTTGGATTCATGTTGATGTGTGTTTAAAGACATAATGTTGAATAAAAAAAAAAACAAACAAAAATATTTAATGTCTTCTAGTTAATCAGAAATGTCGTAAGTAGAGGTCGCGACCCACCACGGTGAACACTTTTTTCTACACTGTCACCTCTAATAGAGCATAATCATCATAGTGAAGGAGCCTGACATGAATGCAATAATTTTATCTATTTATTTATTAGAAAATTTGAAAGTTATGTTTTATTTTTCGTCTTTTAACAGTTACATACTGCTTTTTGATGGACTATCACAGAAAATCCCAATGAGATACACCTTTTACTAATAACAGTCTTTATTAGGATTCTGGTGGATTTTATTTTTTCAAGAGTGTGTCATCCTTGTCTAAGAGGATCTTTAAGACAGCTGTAGAAATCATTGTTTATAAAGACAAAAAAATAAATTATTGCTCTTGGGGCCCCCTGGTGGTCGCTTTAGGTTACGCTTCACCGGTAATATGAGCTGCTAAGTGAACAAAATATGTATTTGCGCAAGTGTACCAATGAAACAATATGCTTTTAAAGAAATTTTGTGTATATTTTAAAATATATGCTCAAAGTAGAATGTTTTTAAATTCACTTAATGCTTACTTGAATAGTAAACTACTAAATATAGTGAAATTTTGGTATGTTTTAAATTACATCCAAATTAGGCTTAATAAAGTATGTCTTTTCAGGTCCCTTAATAAAATTGTACTATTTTTGTTAAAATGGCAAATGGTCTCGGTCTTGTCTCGGTCTCGGGCACTCAGGACTCAGCATTTTATTTCAAGACCAGTCGAGACCGCAACTGTGAAAATATCACTAAACATACAGCATACTGTCCAGTTTAGTTAACATCTTTGTTTTCGGTGGATGCAAAACGCACCGATTAAAATCTAAGCAATAACGTGTTTC